AACTGTTTTCTACAGCCTTTATACCTGATAGTGCCCTGGGGGGATAGTGTGGAATGGGAAAGACTGAATTGGTAGGACACAAAACTGGGTGCCCGGTTCAGACCCAAACCAAACACAGCCTCGCTGGCTGGAACGATAGCACAGCGGTAGGGCGTTTGCCTTGCACGCAGCCAACATGGCCGACCCGAGTTCGGTTCCTCTGCCCCTCTCGGAGAGCCCGGCAAGCTGCCGAGAGTATCTCACCCGCACGGCAGAGCCTGGCAAGCTACCCGTGATGTATTCGATATGCCAAACACAGTGACAACAAGTCTCACAATGGAGACGTTACTGGGCCCGCTCGAGCAAAATTGATGAACAATGGGAGGACAGTGATGGTGACGGTGAAATAGAGAGGTATGTTAAATAATGGTAAAATGGCAGTGTGGTACAATTGTATCACTGAAACAGGGAAATGCTAATACTTTTTTTTTTTCCTTTTTGGGTCACACCCGGTGATGCTCAGGGCTTACTCCAGTAGTTCATGTACTCAGGAATTACTCCTGGAGGTGCTCAGGGGACTATATGGAATGCTGGAAATCGAACCTGGTTTGGCTGCGTGCAAGGCAAATGCCCTACCTGCTGTGCTATCGCTCCATGATAATACTCTTACTTGTGAAAGTTACCTCAATTAGAAAAGAAAAGGATATTGTGTTTTTTCTTCCACTACGAATGCTCACATGTAAAAATTTAATGCTGCCCACACATCTTTTTTTTTAATTAGTGAAACACCATGAGGTGCAGTTGTAGATTTACAATTTTTTGTGCTTGGGTTTCGATTATACAATGATCAGGTACCCATCCCTCCACCAGTGCCCATTTTCCACCAGCATGGATAATATCCCCCCACCCCCATCCCCCCATCTCCCCCTGCCTCTGTGGTGGGCAATCCCCTGTGTTCTCTCTCTCCTTTTGGGTGTTGTGGTCTGCAAAAGAGGCATTGAGTGGCAAACATGTTCAGTCCATAGTCTATTTTCGACATGCATCTCCCCTCCTGGGAGGATCCTCCAAACACCCTTTATTTGGTGCTCCCTTCTCTATCTGAACTGCCCTTTCCTCTAGAATACCCGGCTGGCCTCTAAGTTATGGAGTAATCCTCCTGGTGCTGATCTCAACTATTCTTGGCTGCCCACACATCTTGTGAGTGAATATGTATTAGAAAAATATAAAAGCCTACAGCATTGTCTGTTAGGATGTTCCCAAAGAAACATCCCTAATATCTAATATTTTATGTTGTTACTCTCTTCATGGGGGCTGGAGAGATATCACAGTGGGTAGGGCTTTTGCCTTGTACACGGCTGACCCGAGTTTGATTCTTCCAGCCCTCTCGGAGAGCCCGGCAAGCTACCAAGAGTATTTCGCCCTCACAGCAAAGCCTGGCAATCTACCTGACACTGTATTGATATGCCAAACACAGTAACAAGTCTCACAATGTTGCTGGGCCCACTTGAGCAAATCGATGAACAATGGGAGGACAGTGACAGTGACTCGCTTCATGATCAGAGTAATGACCATAATCTTACCTGTAAACTTTTGGAAATAGTCTGGGGGAGATTCTTTCCTTTCCATTCTGCATAGCCAATGGAGGCTAGAAATGCTAGCTGGGAAAGCAAAATGCTTCACGAGAGAGTTGATTCCCCTAACAGGTAAAGCAAACGTGAGCTCTCCGTGTATCTGCATTGAAACGATGCATGTGGTGCCCCCCTCCTCCACCCATGTCTGTCTCTATCAAATTTGTCCGGGTGAGGAGACAAGAGTCAGGACCTGTTTCCCCACCCACCACCCCCATCACCACTCACTGTTCTCTGCCTGGTCTCTGCTGGCTCATGCTTGGAGCTGGGGCCCCCGGCTCTCTCCTCCCACGTGAGTGATGCGAGCTGAGACTCCGTGCTTGGGACAGGGAGGAAGGCGAAGTCAGGCATGAACCCGCACAGGTGATTGTGGTGATAGGGGACTCAGGTAGGAGCCTCACTGAAATACTGCCAAGGGCTGCAGGGCTGACTTATTATTACTTCCCTATGGCCATGAGGGATCAATACACAGGATTCTTGGCGAGAGTCATCGTTTCTCCTTAGTCCAGTCCCTGAGGACCCCCGATAGATGCAGAGGAGGAAAGGTGTGAATAATGTATTAAAACTTTTGAGTTCTTTGAGTTCCCAGAGAAAGTTGGCTTCTGAGATGCAATTTCAGACCGCTCAAATTTAATTTGTGATTCTCTCCTAAATTGCATTTATGGCTTCTTTTGGGATGCAAGAAAAGTTTTTTCTTGCAACTTAGAGCAAAGTGTGTGTTCAAAAGAGAACACAATCCTCTCCAGATTGGAAATAAGCAAGCAAAGAAACAGAAATAAGCAAGCAAAGAAGCAAGAGTGATGTGTTTGCAAAGGGAAATACGGGCTTGAAAAGAAGGCAAATTTATGACTTTTTGATGTTGCTGCTACAAAGTAATCGTGTTCATGCTGAAAAACTTAAACACAGGTGTTCTTCTGCAATTTAAAACTATCTCCATTTTCCTAATGACTGCTGGTTTCTAAGAGAATGTTTTTATACTTATATTTTAAGAGGGTCTTATTTATAACACCCCAATTTTAATTGTTTCCTTTATATTTGTATATAATGTCAAGATATGTGGCCTTTTTTCCCCAGCGTAGAGCCGATCTTTCTCTCAAAGAAACCAAAGCATCTCCCAGTACTTTTATTTAAAAATGTCTGCCTGAGTGGCTGAAGCGATAGCACAGCAGGTAGGGCGCTTGCCTTGCACGTGGCCGACCAGGGTTCGATCCCCGGCATCCCATATGGTCCCCCAAGCACCACCAGGAGTAATTCCTGAGTGCAGAGCCAGGAGTGACCCCGGAGCATCGCTGGGTGTGACCCAAAAAGGCAAAAACAAAAACAAGAAATAAACAAAAAAAAATGTCTGCCTGAGATTCTTAGTACCTTCAAAGGTTAGGGGAGAGACTGAATCATCTCAACTATTTTCCCTTATTTTTTTCTTCTCTGGAATATTTGGACCCATTATATAGTCAGGGAGTCATTTACAAAATTCCTTGAACACAGTCCCCCAGTACTCCCAGGGGTAGTACTATTGATTGATACCCCTCAAATAAACCTGAGGATTCTATATGAAGTCAAGATATAGTATCAGTAATATTAACCCTTTCAGAGCCTTCATCAGGACACAGAAGAGGGGTAACATGGGGAAAAATTAGAATCTCCCCTCTATACAGACTTCACCCATATCAAAACTTTGATCTCTGAGTCCCACAGGACTCTGCTGACCTGTTCCCCAAATTAATTCATATTTGATCACAGTGAAGTGCTCTTAGCTAAATTTCTTAGAGAAGAAATGGTTTGTATTTCCCTAACAGAAATGTGGCCATACCACTACTTGGGTTTCTTTCATTCCTCACTCTGTTCCTTTATAACACAGAGTCCCTTTGACATTGGTGATGGAACCAACATCAGCCATAGCAGGATGGAGGAGAAGTATAAGGTGGTATGTAGGTGGGGGTCAGATCTGACGGCCAGGATGATGAGCAGGTTCCCCATGATGGTGACCAGGTACATGCACAGGAAGAGGCAGAGGAGAAGAGGCAGGACTTGGAGATCATAGAGAGCCTCAAGAGGGGGAATTCCATGACCCCAGTTGCATTATGTGGGCCCATGAAGCAGAAGCAACTTTTTGAAAAATAAATCCGCATGCACAGGTTATTCAGTATCTCCCCACTATACCTCTGTTTTGTAATATTGAGCAATCTGCAAGTATAGAAACTACACTTGAGTTTTCACTGATTGTGGTAATGTTGAAAGTATTGTTCCATATTGTCTTGCTTAAAAATGATTAAAATGACAATATGTGTCACAGATTATTTAGTGTCATAATAATTTTAAATATGGCCAGATAATATTCACAGACAGATATTTTATTGATATCTTTTATTCATATAAAACAAAACTGAAACTATACATGAACTTGCAGCAACATGAATGGAACTTGAGGGGGTTCTACAAATAAATAATGAGAAATGCAAATACTGAATAATACCACTCACCTGGGGAGTCTAGAGAATGAAAAAATGAAGTCCAAGAAAAAGAAACCCTGTGTTCAAAGCGAACAACAGAAGTTATCACACATCAGACTGTCTGAGCCAGAATATTCAGTAATACATCCCACTCAGCAATATTTGTAAAAGTTCCCCAGGAAATTCTACTAAAATCCATGATTGGAGGTCATGAAATCGAATCTTCTGAATGCCTCAAATGAGCAGATGGGAAGCAAAAACTAAAGACGAAAACCATGTATTGCCCACTCTGGGGATGCTCTCATCCTTACATCTATATTTTGCAAGACAAGTTCCTTAAGCCCTGTACCCCTTGATAGGGGTCAAGGAAGATGACTGAAGTACTATAGTTTACAATGGTTTTCAGGAGGTCTGAATTCAATACCTGGCACTTCACAGTCTCCCAATACTCCCAGGCTAGGACTATTGATTGGTACCCCTCAAATAAACCCGAGGATTCTATATGGAGTCAAGAAACAGTATCAGTAATATTTACCCTTCCACAGCTTTTCATTAGTAGATTTCAACAAAGACTATAGTTTCATAAGCAATATAAAAGATGTTTAATAACAATATGATACTTTTTACAATTATGTATTTTAGAATAGGGTGCTATGTTCCTACATATGGGTCACAAGTGACAAAAATGCAGTGATCCTCAGAGATCATAGATTTCAGTTTTCTAGTGATTTTGACCCCTAAAATATCCCAGAATACACCCCACTGCTAGTAAAGAGCAGGTTAAATAAACTAATTTTGCATTTTGGATGGATTAAGAAATAATATAAAACCGGAGCTACAAAATGTAAGCTGTCCAGGAGTCATGCTGATTCCAGTCAATTGGTTTTCTAATCAATTCGAATCTCAGAGCCAAAGAAATCAACAATATAAGTAAGGATTGAGACTAGACTCTTCTACTGAGAAGCTTCTGGAAGGCCCTTTTGATGTCCTTGTTCCTCAGACTGTAGAGGAAGGGGTTTAGCATGGGAACAACAATTGAGTACACAACTGAGGCCATTGTGCGCTTATTTGGAGAATGAGAGACAGCTGAGCTGAGGTACACCCCAATGCCTGTGCCATAAAATAAGCAAACAACGGACAGGTGAGAGCCACAGGTGGAGAAGGCTTTGGACCGCCCTGCTGTGGAGGAGACTCTCAAAACAGAGGACACAATTCGGGAATAAGAGTACAGGATCCCCGAGGCTGGCACTCCCCCAAAGATCGCACCGATAAAATACATTAATAGGCTTTCAGTGGAGGTGTTCCCACAGGCAAGCCTTAGGAGTTGAGGGGGGTCACAAATAAAATGAGGGATTTCCACGTGGGTACAAAAGGTTAGCAGTGATATCATGAAGCAATGTAGCTGGGAATTGAAAAGACTGACAAAAAAAGAAACAAGAGCCAACAGGCAACATAATTTGGGGTTCATGATGATGGGATAGTGCAGGGGGTGACAGATGGCCACAAAGCGATCATATGCCATCACTGTGAGAAGTAAACTGTCCAAATTTGCAAAAAGATAAAAAAGAGACAATTGCATTAGGCAACCTGCATAGGAGAGTATTCTGCTCTCAGTCTGAATGTCCCAAATCATCTTTGGCACCGTGGTGGAGGTGAAGCCAATGTCAGTTAGTGACAGGATGGAGAGGAAGAAGTACATGGGGGTGTGCAGGTAGGGGTCAGAGCTGACGGCCAGGATGATGAGCAGGTTCCCCATGATGGTGACCAGGTACATGGACAGGAAGAGGCAGAAGAGGAGAGGCTGGACTTGTGGGTCATCTGAGAACCCCAGGAGGATGAATTCCACAGTGCCTGTTCCATTGTGAGGGTCCATGGAGCAGAGACACCTTTGGGAAAATTAAAGAGAAAGGATAACAGATGTACAGGACTTCATCAACATCCCCACACACGCATACATATGTATTTATTTTTTGGACTTTGCTCAGTGGTGCTCGGAAGTTACTCCTGGTGTTGCTCAGGGGACCCCCATGGGATGCCAGGAATCTAACCTGGGTTAGCTGCGTGTAAGTCAAGCACACTACCTGCTTTACTATTGCTCTCATCCTTACATCTTTATTTTGTACATAAACAGCTAATAAATACAGTGATGACGCATGAGTCCTATACATGTTTATCTATATTTCTAGGTTGTGACAAAAATCTTATTAGATTTTTTTTTGTTATTGACTTTTGCTCCATCTCATTGCCATATACATTGATTCTGGAAAGACTGAAGAACAACGATATTTAAAGATCTCCAAAACTATAATTCAGAGCAAAAGAGCTACATACTCCTTTAAATAAAATCAAAAGAATATAAAATTCTTAATATTCTTAAAGGGCTGTAGTGATAGCACAGCGGTAGGGCATTTGCCTTGTGCGCAGCCAGCTCGGCCGAGCCGGGTTTGATTCCTCTGCCACTCTCAGAGAGCCCGGCAAGCTACCAAGAGTATCTCACCCACACAGCAAAGCCTGGCAAGCTACCTGTGTCGTATTCATATGCCAAACACAGTAACAATAAGTCTCAAAATGGAGACGTTACTGGGCCCCCTCGAGCAAATCGATGAACAATGGAAGGACAGTGTTTTTTTTTTTGTTTGTTCGAATATTCTTAAAAGAAAAAACTCTAAAGAATACTCACAAGAACATGTGATTTTATGCAAATCCAAGGCAGTTAATTTTCTTGCTGTGGAATATTTTTGAACACATTATAGTAATGTGTCTAGTTCCATTTTACCCATCACACTGTTGACAAATTACTGTCACTAACAATTCTGTGTGTGCTACATCGGGGACAGTGAGCCAGGCCTAAGATGTGCAAAGCAAATGCTCTAGCATTGAGCTTCATCCCGGTGATTTTCTGTATCATTTAAATTTAAACCAAGTCACTTTGCCCTCTACCCAACACCTGAGCTAGTTCAGAAAAACTTTGAATCCTCATATGTAAAATAAATCATTGATGTGGACAGATGGACATCATAGGGACAAGAATTAATACTACTGTGTTGCAGTAAATGTGTTTCAAAATATAAATAGCTTTTAAAGATTCTCACAATAAATGCAAATCCAAGGTAGTTAATTTTTTGCAATGATTTATGGTGCTGTATGTTAACAAGAAGTTGAGTGCTGATCATTTTGCACTATATTGAAGTAACGAGTCTTTGTTATTTTCTGAAGTAATTTGATGTCTTGCTCGAGCGGGCCCAGTAATGTCTCCATTGGAGACTTTGTTGTTACTGTGTTTGGCATATCAAATACGTCACGGGGAGTTTGCCAGGCTCTGCCGTGCAGGCGAGATACTCTCGGTAGCTTGCCGGGCTCTCCGAGAGGGGCGGAGGAATCAAACTCGGGCTGGGCAGAGGAATTGAACTCGGGCTCGGGCTGGAGCGATAGCACAGCGGTAGGGCGTTTGCCTTGCACGCAGCCAACATGGCCGACCCGAGTTCGATTCCTCCGCTCCTCTCGGAGAGCCCGGCAAGCTACCGAGAGTATCTCGCCCGCATGGCCGAGCCTGGCAAGCTCCCCATGAAGTATTCGATATGCCAAACACAGTAACAACAAAGTCTCCAATGGAGACATTACTGGGCCCACTCGAGCAAATCGACAACAACGGGAGGGCCTCGAGCAAAATTTGATGTCATCTCAGTCATTTTTTTTCTCAGTCATTTTTTTATTTGAGAAGAAATTTTGTGTTTTCAGGATGATATTACTTATCTGTGGCATATAGAATACTGGATGAGGAAATGTATAGTGGTGAAAGAGGGATGCCTAGATCACCCTGGCCTCCAGTATTTAGAGAGGAGAAGAACAGAGAAGGAAAGAAATCAAGGTGGGTGGGGAGGGAAAAAGAGAACAGGAAGTAATGGGCGAACAGGCTTCAGGGCTTCAGTTATACTAGTGATGTGAGTGAGGGGTAAAGTATAGTCATATATCCAAACACAGATTCAACAGTACTGAAAAAATGACATCTAAGCTGAAAGCACTAAAACTTTGTAATGGGCCTGTCAGGGTGACAGGTGGGAATTGGGTGGGGGTTGGGATGGGGATGGAGCCTGGGAACACCAGGGGCAGGGAAATGGACACTGATGGTGGGATTGATGCTGAACTATTATATGCCTCAAACTCAACTATCAATGACTTTGTAAATCACAGTCCTTGAATAAAAAAAATAAACAGGGACTTAGCTTAAGTCACAACAACAAAAACAGAAGAACTATTGTGTTGCCCTTTCTTTGGTGGTAAATGCCAGTAAATCTACACAGGAGACCTACCCTGCACTCTCATCTTCATAATCACCATCAAACAAACCAAGGCAGTTTATTTCCACACTTGGTATTTCATACAATTGTAGAAGATTTGCTGTGCTTGCCACGGTAGGGATTCTTTTCTCTTGTCAGTGTGGCAATATCTGCCTCCACATGAGGCTAACTTGGGAGGGTGGGTCCTTTATCCTTGGCAGAGTCTACTTGATGGGCTGAGCTGGAACAAGGGCTGCCATCTTGGATCTTCCTACTTTTGCTCTGTCTGTGCCAGGCCTGCCTCCTGCTGACATTCTCCTCCCTCTTGGAGCTGTCGCCTGCTGGTGACCTGCACCGTGTAGTATGCAGCCTTGAGCTTCCTTGGTTACCCTCACATACATCAGTGACCTTACTTACAGGTCAAACATTTGTCTCTGATGCATGTGATTATGGTATCAGGGTTTCATTTATATGACCCTGGGTCTGGTGTCTCAATCAGATGTATTTGTACTCTGAGTTAAATGATGACAAACACTGGGAAAATTGGAAATCATCTTAGCTTCCCCCCCTTTGTTTGTTGATCACTTTGGGGCCCAGTGGATACTCAGGGACAATGAATATATCCTGAGGGATGATAAAGGTTCATTGGGTACCTGGATGGGTCCTCAGGAAAGTGAAAAGAGAGGGAAAAGAGAGGTGGAAGGCAACACTCTTGTCAATGATACAAACATGGGTGGATTGAGCTAGTATAAAATCATGTTCACATGAGTATGATATATTACTACACAATTCTAAACCATTTTCTAGAGAAGCTATCCATCCTTTAGAACAAGGAAACCCATAACAGCTGTAACATCTGTTTATTTGTTTTTGGAATGCTATATAAATCTAAAATGGAAACTCTTGTTGTTATTTAATTTTTGAATTTAAGGTTATACCAAGTGATGCTCAGAGGTTACTCCTGGCTCAGTGCTCAGCAGTGCTGGAGATTGAACTGGCTCTCTCACAAAGCATTTTCTTAGCCTTTTGAATTGTTTCCTTGACCTCCTAAATTTGAAACTCATTAAAAATGTTTTTGATATAAATGGAAACTTTAAATTAAACTGTTTGCTCCACTAATAATAAAAAATAAGAGAGAGGTGGAAGGACTGGAGGGGAAAGGAAGGAGCAAAATAAAGGGAGAAGGAGAGGCTCAGGTGCTGGTGTGAATTCCTAAAAGAGTAGGACAGGGGTCCAGAAATAGAGTACAGTGGGTAGGGTGCTTGTCTTGCATGTGACGACCAGCACCTGATCTCTGGCATCCCATTTGGTCCCCTGAGCACCACCTGGAATGACTCTTGAGTTAAGAGTCAGAAGTAACTCCTGGGTATAGCTGGGTGTAGCCTAAAAACTCAAAAAACCAAAACACAGGATGTTTGCAGACCTAATCTGCTACAGCTGCCCTTGCCTTTGTAATAGAAAATTCCAGGTCCATGGGGCTATGTAGAGAGGTACCCATGAGGGCCCAGAGAAATATTTAGCTCAAAGCTGGCTAAAGCACAGGTGATACAAACCATCTGGAAGCCATTATTGGTGAGTAGGTGTCTCACACTGAAGAACCAAATCTGAAGCTTGTGGGATAAACAAGTTTTATATGAGTCAGAGAACAGAGTGAGACCCTCCTCTGAAGGACTCCTATTGACAAAATGTAAATATACACGTAGGAGATGGAGACAATGGATATGAAAGAAGAATCCAATAATTAAAACAAGAGAAACCAGAGAGATAATGCAGCAGCTCTTGTTCTTACATGTAGTTGAACCTGATTCAACCCCCAGCACTATATAAAGTCCCCCAAGTACCACCCTGAGTGATCCCTGAACACATTCAGGAGTAAGCCTGGAGCACCAGAAGGTGTGGCTGTAAAACAAAAGGAACAATTAACAACCAAAAAAAGAAAAATACTTCCCAACAGAGATACACAATTGACCCTCACTAGAATCCCAAAACTACAGAAAGAATTTGTAGAACAATGAAATACTCATCTAGATTACTTGGAATTCAATAAGGACCAGGAGGGCCCTGCAAAGACAATGGGGGGACTGTGTGTGTAGTTATAGGATGACATATCATTGACAGCAGATTTTCATTTGAGTGGATTACAAAATATGTTTTTATGAGGCTAAGAAAGAATCGAGTTCATTTAAATAAACAATTTCTTCCCTCACACTTGCAAAAATGGATTTAAAGATCACAGCATACAATTTTTACATATTTTTAGAAAACAAAATTTTATGTGCCTAAAAATCAACCATCAATAATTGTGTGGATCACAGAACTTTAAAAGAAATGAAAAAAAAAACATAGAGTAGAGGGGACAAGTTTAATGTCTTGTTATAATTGTCTTGGTTTAAGTGGGAAAAAATAGTTTTTAGCACTAGAGCAATAGCACAGCGGTAGGGTGTTTGCCTTGCACTCGGCCGACCTGACCGACGCAGATTCAATTTCTCCACCCCTCTCGGAGAGCCTGGCAAGCTACTGAGAGTATCTAGTCCGCACGGCAAAGCCTGGCAAGCTATCCGTGACGTTTTTGATATGCCAAACACAGTAACAACAA